TTTTTTTTTTTTTTTTTTTTTTTTTTTTTTTTTTTTTTTTTTTTTCCAGAGCGACGTCGACCGAGAAACGAAGTTTGCTTTTCATTGGCTGGCGAACGTTATGAATCACGATATCTGTTAGAGCGACGTATATGGCGAGAAAAAAAAATCATATCCGACTTCGAATATCTCGACGTCATATGAAATCCGTATTCGAGTTTTTTGCTGCTTTCTGTTATGGGTTATTGATATTTTTTATTGTATATGACACACTTTCGTGCAAGTTCACGTAACGTGGTATCGTTATATAGATAATTTAGTACAGATTTTTTTCGGAAATAAAGTTTAATGGAAAAATAGAATTTTAGAGTATTACAGTTTAAAATTAACTCGAAATGCAATCCGATACAGGGGTACTTATCAAATAAGAAATATAAGGGTGAAAAAAGAATATATATTGTAACGTTCCTCTTATACACTCCCCCTTTTTTTCTTCAAAAATACCCAATCTCGGTGATGTGATGAGTCAAAATCATCCCAGAGGTAGTAGGTTCAGCGAAAGGGGGTCATTGTGATCATCCGTCGATCCTGAATCATTATCATCCCTATCCTCCAGCTGGACCACAGTCTCCGGACGCATCGTGCAATCTGCTGCATTGTAGCTCCAGCTATCTCTTTCCCACTCCTATAGAAGCCAGCATAGGGAAAAGAGAAACAGATACAGTTTCTGTCGCCTGCGGTACAATAAGAAAGATTTAACTCGAGTCATGTCGAATATTGTGAATCGACCCAGAGTTAGAATAGTTAGAGCCTAGAAGAGGAGAAAAGACCTGTCATGGGAATAACCCCCCAGAGGGATGTTACTGCGATACGTTCCATCTATTCTTATTTGCACTTGTGCCTGCAGCTTCCTACTGTTGTTTTTCTATTTTCGAATGTTGAATTATAGAGGTGTATGGTTATATTATATAGCCAAGGGATATCCATGTAATATTGATAACTTCAGTCAGGTATCATTTGTCTAGGTCCTTTGACAATTTCGTAGAAAGTGACTGATCTAGGTGCGAAAGAAATTTTGGAGGAATTTTGATGCAATTAATTATTCAAAAATATCAATTCGATATCAGTTGTTATATGGTTGTCTTATTTTTATCATTTTTTTTTTTTCAGGGATCTAAGAGATGACGAAATCGAGTGGCCAACGTATTCGAGAAATCATCCCCAGTATGTGATCTTTGACACCGAAGAGAAAGGACTAGGAAATGGTCCTCGTACAACCGCCTGCGCTTTCTGGAACGAATTTCTACCCAGGCTTAAAGGAGTGCCTGGTACGTCAAATGAGATATAGAAATTCTTTTGGGAAATGCTAAATATTTTTATATTCAATTTTTATTGTGATTACAGCGAATTGCGGGAAGTCTTCGTTACTTTCTGAAACCCTCTATCTTTTTTTTTTTACATTACAGATCCTGCCGTAAAATCATGCGACAGTGCAATCGCGTCAAGCGTGTCTGCCGGTGCGGAGAGGCTACGTCATTCGATTGACATGACGATCGTCTTTCTCTCAATGATGACGACCGTCACGATGATATAAAGGATTTTACCGATATCCACCACAACATCCCGTTCGCAGCCGACTAGAAGATCGTGGATCGTGGCCATAATTGTCATTCACGAAGTTTATCCGGCAGAGTGCGGTACGATCTGGAAATCGGTAACTCGGAGAGCTGCGTTAACGAATGGGCGACTTCTACCTGCAGTATCGACTGAGACGTGGGAAAATGCATAAAGACGTATACCGGAAGACTTCGACCGAACACCGCCAGATGGCTCCACCTCCGAACCTTCGTCTCATCCGAACCGAAGATCATCCGGCGTCGCTCCAGATCACCGATAAATCTGTCGTTCTCAAAATTCTTATGCATAAAAATCGCAAGGATTATCACGCAATACCGTTTATGCCTGATGTTCGATATTAATCATTGGGACTGATTCGCAAGGTCCGATCAGTTCCTCACGAGCATTGGGACTTAAACGTAGGACCTCAGGTCGACATCTCGAGCTTCTTGCAGTCTAGATCCTATCCGTGCACAAGAACTTTCTATGAGCTTCTATTCTTCCGTTTGGAAGCGAAACGCGACACTAGTCCCCATTGTAGACTACAGCGAGAAATTGTCAACGAAAACGAAACTATGGTGATTAGATGACTCGTGTCCAGAGATAAATTTACACGTGGTCGGGTATTGTAGATCGTCGTAATTTGTCGATTGGCTCGTAAACGGGAGATTTTTATCCTTCGGACTTTATGTTGCTAATTATTGCGCAGTCAAAAGAATGATAAATAATTATGGGTCAAGGTGCATGTATTATTTTACATGTGCATTTAGGTGCATATGCTGAAATACGCAAAGTCGTGAAGTCTAGGTCGATATGTACAGGAGAGTAAAAATGAGAGTAACTATAGTCAGTGAGGTAGTCGGTCAGGTAAATAGTTTATATCTGTAAATATATATATACATGGATATATAAATTTTCAAGTAACACGTAATGTTTACAAGGACCAATGTCCTCGAACGGTTCTGTCTCTCATCTCAGAATTTAGTTTTGGGCGGAAACCGATCAAAAACGAACGAAGCGCTCAGTGCGGTTTTCAAAGTTGCGCCTAAACTTTGAACTAGATGGAGACACTGTCAAATAAACTGTTTCGTAAGTTTACCGAGTACCGTCATTCCGGTAGACTCGTACAACGTTCAACGTGGTTAAGGTAGTTGGATTGTCAGATTGTTCTGGGAAATGAAAAAGGTGAAGGATCATTCACCTTCATTAAGTATGCATATCGCTTATCACCATTTGAAAATAATGTTGAGAAAAAAAATTGTGACGAATTCAAGTGATATATGCAATTTTGGATTTGAGAAACGCTGCTGTGCAGTACTGCTAACTGGTCGAGGAGCGAACGGGAAGCGCTTTGTAGGAAAGGAAAGCAAAAAAATGGAAAAAAATAACCAAACGTTTTCTGTACTTGTAACAAGATACCAATTGGTTGCTAGGCGACGGAAACGGATGCAGCCAGCTGCATAATCGAGTGAGTCGTGCATAGGTATATCTAGATATATGCATAAGACATCAGCGCATTACGACTGGTTCGTTTCCTGCGTTGGAGATGTCGATTTTGGGATTAAATAGGTAAAAATCTACTGGTAGAAGGTTATTTAGGTAATTAGTGAAATACCAAAATAGTAATTTAGGTGTGTAACATAATTGGATGTGTATGATGATGTCATGTGGGTAATCCCATTTACATAAGATATTGGTAACGTTTAAGGCGTGAGTGTAATTTTTGCGATGGGATAGTCGTTCCGGTAAAACGTGTTATAATTATTGCCGATTATTAGAGTGTGAAATCGTTGAGCACTTTAAGAAGAAATTATAGGGAAGCGATTAACACATTTATGTGCATTTAGAAATACGAATGGGTTTACGACGGGTGAATAATGCTGAAGTGCAATTTTTCGAATGTTTTTTCGCACTTGGATTTAATGATTTTCGCTCCATATCCACGACGAAATGGTTAAACACGATTTTAATGTCTCGATGCATGACGTTTCGCCAAGAATCAAATTTTCCGGTTTATTCTACCGGATAATTTGATATTCGCTTAACCGTTATGGCGGAAATCATAGTTATCATTCGAATAACGTTAACGGATGTGTTTCTTATCAGTCTTTATGAAATAAATCGACATCGACACTGCCGACTCGAATCGCGTTCTTATAAATACAAATTAAATGCTTTCAACATTTTATATGGGACTAATAAGTTCAATCGTACCAACTGAAGTTAGCTCGCCCATTTGATGTTCATGGGAAAGACAACTTCAAGTGATGCATTTGAAGTGACGAGTCTTGTATATATTTGGCACTGGTATCTGCTTTCAAAATACATTTTCTTCTCTCATATTAATTCTAACTGAATTTACTGATAAAATATTTTTCATTAAAAGATTTTTCTAACTTATTGAACTCCAATAATTTTTGGTGTCCAAAAATTCATTCTTTCTCATAAGAGAAGATTTAATATTAATTGCAGTCGTTGAAGAATCGAAGGATTTATTAACAAAAGCAAAATATGTATTTCTTTAAAAGTCCGAAAAATTGGAATATATAAATTTTTCACGAAAACTTTAACATGGACGAGTAAGAAATATTTTGTAATTAGTACAAGCTGCGCCATCTGGATTTCAAGTGTCTCGTGCTTTTTTGATTGCCGACGTTTCAAGCCAGGGAGCGTAAATTGTCTTGTCACTTTGTTCTCACGGCTCGCCCTTTTCTCCATTTTTTCGTCGGCAGAGTCGAGCGTCGGCGTTAACCAAATCCCCAGGGGCTTGAAATTGATTTTCTTGGAGCGGAAAAAAAAAAGAAATGGCGAAAAGTTCGAAACAGTCCACCGAGGACTCTAAACTCAAAGGAACGCGAGAGCCGCATCGCACGGACGTAAATCGCGATTAAGCCAAAACGAGAGGGGAAAAAAAACAAGAAAAAAAAATTGATAAAATATAAGAAAGAAAAATACGACGAGAAAAGGCAAACAAAAATTATAGGAGGATTAAAAGAAAGAAAAAAAAAGAAAAAAAAAAGAAAAGTTAAAGAATTACGAAGTGCAATCTCAGAGAAATCCAATATATGCCGCGTTGTAAATGCGTGCGTCTAAATTAAATGACGCAGGAGATGCGCAACCGACGCGATTCTTCCATTTGGTACATATCACCTCTAAATATACACATATTACATATACAACATACATTAATCTATAATTACTATCCGTAACAGCGTAAACGTAGGGGTAGAACGGCGCGATCGTCACTAATTAGCATCAAGCGTTAAATGTATAGCGCGACGCGTACCACATAGAAGACTTGGGTATTTTGATTAAAGACAGAAAAGGAAAAATTATTTTCTACGAAATTATTCTAGGGACTATCTAGTTGTCCAATGCGACGTGGCGTTACAGATTTATCGGATCCTGGCGTATCTGTAGCAGAAGACAAGAAAAGAAAGAAAAAAAAAAGCATCAAGATCCAGTAACATTAAAAATCACTCCTCCCCCGGAGAGAGAAAGAAGGTGAAAAGAAATTCGAATTAAAAAAAAAAAAAAAAGTCACGTATCATCAACTTTTTCGAATAACCGAATAATAACGCAAAGCCTGCGTTGGCATTATTCAGCAGGTGTACCACATTAAAGGTCCTTAAACGTGAAAGCATAACGACCGTTATCAGTCGCGATTATTGATAAGGGCAAATAAAAAGTGTCTGCGCAGCAGTGCGAATGCATATCAACCACGACTGTCTATGATACAATCTGTAACGCATTCGCATAAAGATTCGCCTATCACGATATAGCTGAATAGCGATAACTCTAGATATTAGGAAAACGTAGGCACATTGGCGTAACCAAGGCTTCTTTAGCGTTAAGCGTGTCCTTACATATCATTAGCATTGGCCGTATACCCCGTGTAGAATAGTTAGCGCGCACGTAGCTCTAGAGTTAGTGCCTCGAGTTTACGAAGGATGTTGAACGTTGAACGTTAAACGTCGAGCGTCGTGCGTTAAGCGTTGTGCGTTGAACGAACAATAATAAGTACCTATATACATATTATAGTAACTGCGTTAGCCTCAACGTAACGTACCCGCGTATCTACGTTCCTACGTTCGTTAATTCGCTACGATTGGTAAGATTAGTCGCGTGACTTATATACGGTGTCAATAATTGTCAGCTGTCAAACCGCGAGAACGGCGGCTTTGTAAAAACTGTCCGACGATCTACCTGACTGCACCAGCCTCTATGCTAAAATTATTTTTGTACCTTACTCAACTGTCGAGTCGATTTATCGATAAACATCAATCATTGATTGACTAAGGGTTGATATCGGACATTTTATTCGATGCGACACAATGACTCTTTTTTAGATATTTATTTTCTTTTTAAATATATCTGTATAAGTGTTTTCGTCACAAAGCTTTTTTTGGCACGTATTGAATTTCTCATATTAATATTCAATGTATATCTTGGATCAATGCTATTGTAACAGTGCCGAAGCCTGATCTCTGGATTTAATTTCACTTTATTTCTTTTATTTTCATTTTCAACGAATTCGTCGATTGAACTTTGACCTTTCTCGCGTGTACTGCAATCTTTGCTTTTTCTTTGTAACTACTCCACGCTTTTCAAGCTTCGGACTTCGAGAGAAGTTACCGAGCTAACAATGGAAGCGCAAGTTGATTTTCGAACTTTTGGCTTGGCTTTAAACACATCCTTGTACATTGTCGTCTCGCGTGCTACCGGAAGCTCCGGGGTTTTCTGACAAATATCGAATCCACCGAGTTTTCACTTGGACGACTATCGGCGGAAATGGGTACAAGAATAAAGGAGGCGTTCGGCGAATACGCCGCAAAAGTGTCACGACGAAGCGCACGCGAATTGATGTATCTGAAGATTCGCGAAAGCTTTTAAAAGCCGCTCTAAATTCGAAACTCAAAGCCACTGTTGCTTCGTGAAAAAGGGTGCTGCGAGAGTTTCTATTGAGATATCGTGAAAGTTAGCGCGTATGGTTTATAGATATTCGGCAGTTTTATTCGCACGTAAATGTATGGTAATTTATGTAAAATTTTTTTTTACAGGTTATATGGAACAAAGATGGCGGGTGTTATAAGAAAATTTACTAAAAAAATCATTGAATCGCATCGCGGCTAGTGACTGGTATATTGAAAATCTACGCGACTGATAAGAAATGGCGATTTTCTACATCCGTATCGTTTTAATCTCTGTGACGTCATGACGATTATAAAAACTCTACGAGCTACGTATCGATACCTGCGTCTTTTCTGTAGATTCGCAGGGCCTAAGCGACGAGGACTTTTCTTCGTTGTACAGCTCGCACCCGCTGATCGCACGAAGCACTGTTTAATACACGAGCGTAGATTTTTCAAATATCACGTATAAAACCTACGATACCTTCGGCCTAGAGATTTTCGTGAATTCTTGAAATTTCCAAATTCAAGATAACTTTAACACAGCAAATAAAATGGAAGATATGAAATTACGCTATCGTGGGGTCTCAGTGTCCTCGACATTGTCGTGGCGCAAAAAGACCTTAAATTGGAATAACCCGCTCGAAGTGAAAAATCGAATTAACGAACACGAGCCAGGGACAAAAATATCGATTTCGTTGTCATACGAGAAATTCGTAAAATTTGCTACGAAAAAAAAAAGAAAAAAAAAATTGACAAAAGTTCGACGACAAAAACAAAAACTTTGTATCCCGTATCTGGGTATAGTTTGCACGAACAATCGAGAAGCACATAGAAAAAAAGTCACTAGGAAAAATTTCCCTATGACCATGCATACGTATTTACCTTCGACAAAGTATTTCCCCAGGGAATAAAAATGATCCTTCGTAACGGTCCAAGAATTTACTTGATTTTTTCCCCCGAAGTTAAATACTAATCTGACCGTCGTTTATTCCGATCTAAATTTTCGTTTTATCACGTGTGCACGTTTACGCACCATGTAAACAGACATCTCCCGTACGTACGTGAGATTAAACGTATTATCGGTTAAAAAAAAAAACCAACACTCTTTGCCTTTCTGTAAATACGCGAGAATTAAAAAGGGGAAAGATGAAAAATAAATTTTCGTCGATCATCCATAACTTAGAACGACGCCACTACCATCTGTTGGCACGAAGCACGAACTAAAGCCACACAATAGACATACACGTACAAGGTGGTACCGGTATTGATTATTGGCACTAGAAAAATATTCAAAATTATTGATACCGATATTAAGTAACAGTACAGGTACCGGTTAACGTTTGCAGGGTATAAAGTGGCAGCGTGCGGATCGTATAATTAAATAATTTTTTTTCTTTATTATCCGTTAATAGATTTTTCTTTCAATTTTTGTTATTTTTTATTCACCCTCTATCTCTGTCTCTCTCTCTTTCTCTTTCTCTCTCACATTAATTTTTACTCTCAATTTCTGTCTATCTCTCTGTCTATGAAAACCAAGCCGAGGATGTTGTCGCCCGTTCGAAATACCCCTTGAGGGCACCTAGCGTACCGAGACGCAGAACACGATATAACCGAATACATTAGATTAACGTATAAATGAAAAATGATTAGATTAATTAATCGGCTGTTATATTTTTCAATGTCCGTGCGCTAGGATCCGATGCCGTTCGAACGGTCTGTACTCTACTGTGATGTGCTTTCCTTGTCTATTGTTTACTCAATGTCACTGCTTAGGATTATTAAAAGGCGGAAGCTCTGCTTGGATGCAACGAATTGATTTTTCCTTTTACACGTGTGACGCGTCAACGATTTTCCTCGATTTTAGGTTAAATTCATATACCGTCTTTAATCGTATTATTATCGTAGAGCTATCACGAAAATTTATCTCGAGCCGAAATTACATAACTCAAGACTCACTTTCCCGTCGATCACACGTGTCACCGATAATAATATTTGACAATCAGCGAGATCCTGTCGTTTAATCGTATACGAATTATTTATTAATACAAATTCACAATCGATTCGCTGCAACAAGTTCGACTTCGATCTAAATGATATCTCTGACCCGAAGGCAGTGACGGTTCGTTTGGCCAAAATCCGTTTCATCGTATACGAGCCACGTGTATTTTTTTTTTTTTTCAATGACTCATTGGCGATGGACAATCATTATCAAACAGCTGCGAGCAAATAGATCGAGCCACGAGTTAACGTAAGTTCCGATCAGAAGACTTTTGCGTTATAACCAAAATCGCGTATAGCTGTAATAATCGCATGAAAAAAAAAATTCAAAATCGTATAATTCGAATTCAGGTCCAATTAAATATTAAGTATATAATATATATCGCCAATTGTTTACTTTGCATATAAAATTCACGAAGGCCGTATAAGTCGATAACGAAATTTTGGAAAAAAAATTTATTTCCAAAAATCACACCTATAACTATCCACCCGGTACAGCACGATACCAGTATCACCCAAATACGTAAAATTCGTACGAATAATTTTGAAATGTCAAATTCGAAAAAAAAAAAATCGAAATTCCAAAATTTCAATTTTAACTTCGTAAATCGCGGATTTATCGCATCGAGTACCAGTATACGTATATGTATATGTAAAAAAGTGACCTAACTCAAAATTTTGACGAACGTCCGTCAAAACGATGAAACGGGAATTGGCATGGCGTTTGGTGTTCCTCGCGACTCCTTCTATACGAAGTCAATGTAGATTATATAGTACGTAGACCTTAAACGTATCTTATCGAATCTGTAAGATGTACATATACCTTATATACTTTGAAAGAAAAAAAAACATGTATTTACGTTAAAACTTGTATAACGTACTTGTGCATTTATATAGGCCAAACGGTTTACCATGTACACGTATAGACGCACAAACGTTGGCGCTAACGAATCGTCTGGCGTTACACGCGAATCCTAATGCATCTTCAATGTTTAGCTTCCCCGACTGACAATGGGGGACGAATGAAACTTCTTTTTGTCCCGACTACAAAGCCAAGTCGTTCTCCGGTATCTGTCTATGTTCTATCTGCTATGCTCTCTGTGACCTTAAAAGCACTGTCTACTCCCCGTACCATTTCAAATCCACTGTACCTAAGAGCAAATGACTCTAGAGACGCCGGAGCAGCTTCTGTGCTCAGATGCAGATCGTTGAATAACGTATGAGCGAAATAGTCTTCTGCTACTTTACCTCCTCTCTATCTCGCTCTTCGTCTTTCTTACACGTTATACATCTCGCTCCCATTTTTATATCTTTTTCGTGTAACTGTAATATCTGCATCATTGATCTTGTTCGTGTGTATATATATATATATACACACCTGCTTTATGACCATCCTATATTTTATGTACACTTCACCTGCACACCTGACAAGTTTACATTATTTACTAAAAAGGAACATTTCGAAAAATGCAATTTCTCATAAGACGTTTTTTCTTCTCATCGCGCAAGAATGTGGGAATGAAAGTGTGAAAGATATAAAAAAAAAAAAAAAAGACATTTGAGCATCAAATTCTATTACACTGATGTATTATCCTGTACATAATGCATTCTTGCACTTTGATGCAGCCTGGTGCATATGCTGCACAGCTTGTCCCGCGGAGTGGGAATATTTATGAGGAGCGCGAAGACCGGGATATTGCGAGAGTAAAGAGAACGATAGAAATTGCGTGGAAATGGTCCATGGGAAGATTCGTATGTGAGATGAGCAGCATCCATAAATGTTTTTTTTTTTTTAGTCACTTTGTTCCCTTTGATACGAAGGTAATGGAGAATGTCAAAATTGAGTAAAAAATATATATGTTATACGTCAGCATTTAAGTGATCGTTAGGGTTGAGTAATTTTTGTGGAAAAAAAAAATCTGGTATCCCCACTCTTAAATCAGGGTATGAAAAATTACTCTCTTACGAAAAATAACCGTCCCACCTATATCACGTGGGGGTTCAAGAACGCCAAGCCATAAATTAGCCTAACGTTTGTGTGCGAACTAGAAAATGCGAAATGCTCCTCTCCTTTATCTTTTAAAGTGTCGCGCGTCGCTTCGTTGATTCTCTTCCTCTCATTGGCCAAGAACGGGAGGAGAGTCTTGACGCGCGACGGGCACGACCATACAGTTTTGTGTATGCCCGAAGAGAAAAGGATAGTTTGAAAAAAAAAAAGAGAAAAAAAAAATTATGAAAAAGATAAAAAATAATTCCATACGTGAAAAAATTGACGGGAATTTTCTCTTTTGTATTTTTTTTTTCCCTTTTCTTTATGTCTTTGTTCGAGTATCAACGGTCGGGACCACTTTGCGATGTATGCCGCGTACAATACTTAGTCAATTATCGATCGATCGTCAATGATCTTTGCCTAGATACACTTCGGCGCTTATACGTGACTGTTATACTTCGCTTCGTAACGTTGCTGGATTATTATTATTATTATTTTTTTTTTTTCATGCGAATTAATAACGACGCTCTATTTTCATTCGAGTCATCGATTTCATAGCGACGACCTCTTTCGAGTTAACGTCATAAAATCCAGGCTAACGGGTGGTCGCGAAATGTCATTCGATAAAGTATCTGTCTTTACGCGTGTTGACTGAACGGAAGATAAAAATTTTGCTCGAAAATCATTCACGTAGATAAGAATTTGAAAAATTTACCTAAAGCTCAATTTTTTTTATCGTCGCTTCCCATGCGACACTTTTTGTATTTTCGTGCCCACTACGTATATCCTGGATCGATTTGATTCGAGGGTTATCGCTGTTATCAGTAAATTTTACCACCGATCGACATCGATCCTCCGGATCGAATGCCGGGGGTGAGTAAAAAAAAAGTATTTGTGAAAATGAACGCCAATGAGATCGAGGACGGTAAAAGAAAATTGGAACACCCGGTGCATCGAGGACATGAAAATATAATTGATAACGTTATCCCCGGTAATATATTCGAAATCGATGCACCGTGTCCGCTATAAAAAATCCTTATCAAAGTATAAAGTCAAACGAAAATAAAAGAATAATAATAAGACGAGCCACACTGACGTGTAATATAATGAGAATAGCCTTCGAAATAGCAAAGTAGTAAAAAAAATTCATCGGTGTGCTATTGAGAAAAAGAAGAAATAAAAAAAAAAGCACGTGTAATATTATCAGCCATGGGTTGCTTTGCTTTTAACAAACGAGACAAGCAGAAATATTACGTTAAATGTTGTTAGGTTATATATATATATATAAATAAATATTATCAATGTTACCGTTGTATGTAATTATTATCTCAAGCTATGTAAAAGACATGACTGTAGTTATCACGAATAAATTATACGATGATTACTACGATACTCGCGGAGACGATGGAACGAGTAATACTCAATTGTCAAATTTTTGGTTGCTTTTGGTATATTAATTTTTTTCAAATTAACTTTATACGCATAACTCATTATCTCCTGGACCTGTCATCGTTACCATTATCATTCGCACGGTCGTTACTCTCGCGAATAGAAACAGTCATCGCACTTTCATCACCTTTATCCTTTCGTTAAACTGCGTACATTATATTTCGATGATATCACGCCAATGCAAAGGAGTCTGAGACTATGAATTATTTATGCCTTCGGTAATCAATATCAATGGCTTGGATCGCCGAACATCACGAAATTCGCATTCCACCTTTAGCACACGCATACCCCGTGGAACGTTAGTTCTCAGTGAGTCACGGATTGTGACTAAATTTGATTTGGCATATATCGCACGTGATAACGGAACAAGGAATTGAATATGGAAAATTATACGTATAGCGTTACAAAGACAAAATGTACGTACGGTTTGACATACAAAAGTGAATCAATAAAATAAATTCAAATCAATTGCAGTTTAAAAATTTGGAAATTTGTGTTTAACGAAAAAAGAAAAAAATGGAAATTTCATAATTTTTGAAAAATTTGTTATGTATACTTAATAGATTTTGTATGAAAACGTAACTTCCTGTGATTACGTTACATTATATTTCAATAGCTTGGTTTAACGATCGTTACGTGATATAAACGGAAATTACTATTGCTTAAAGTTTACAGTCAAATAAGTGGTTCAGGACGATCATATTGTAGTACGGTAGAAATCCACCAGAAGTGCATGAGAGTTAACGTGGAGGCGAAGCGTAAAAAATGAGCTAAACGGTGGGACAAAAATATCGAAACTGGGTTAAGCGAGTTAGTGAAGCTTCCGAGGTTACATAAGTATACATAGATAGATAAATACATATATGTCATTTCCTTACAGTCCTCTTTACTCCGGCGGCCTGATTTGATAACGGAAACGAGTGCATCACGTGTTGAGTAGATTATTCTTATCGGAAATGGCGCAAATGCCAGGGTGGAAGTTTGTACGCCTTCTTGGGATATTCTTGTAATAATAGCTTCTTTTAAGAGACGCCAAATTGTATTTCAGTAATAGAATCATATATCGTATTACGACAGAAAATGCACCCTTGGACGAAACTCATTCAATATTTATATTTTGTCTGTATATTTATATATCCTTGTCATTTCTTTCGAATGTAGGTTATAGATTGAGTATATATTTTCTTCTCGATTTACTTTTAATTTATTGTCGTGTGCTTATACCTTTGCCAGAGATAAGTAGATGAGTAAATCAGTTGCACAGAAATATTGAAAATTCGAAGAGTTAAATAAAGCTTTCGAAATTTTACTAAATATTATTGGATCTTAATTTACTTTCAAAATTTATTCAAAATATAAAATTAAGGCTTGCAAAATATATATGGAATAAATAAAAATTTAGTTGAAATTAAAAGATGTCGAAAATAAATTACGCTCAAATTTAAATATTAATAAATTAAGTGTTTGGAACATTAAAATAGTTAATTAAATAAATAATGTAAAATATTATCATTTAGAAATCGGAAATTCTGGCCAAGCATATTTCGAAGTACTGGAAGTTGCCCAAAATTGTGTGCGCGCAAATTCATCGCGCAGGACTCGGCGAGTGGGAGCAGGCGCTGAGTGGGAGCAGGCGGATGGTGGGGGCAGCGCTCGAGGCAGTGCCGCAGCTCGGAGCGCTCATTCTTCCTCGAACCGGTCTCCTATACTGGTCTCTT